TATTATTACATAAAATATTATTATTTTACTGAATCTACACCACTAAATTTTTATCACCGAAAAAATTTTAACAGGTTATGTAGAAACGTGTGGAATATTGAAAGCAAAAGAAAAAGAAATGGTTTTCATGAAGTTATTTTTTTTATTAAATTTTCGTTAGTCCGTATTTTACGCGTCACAGCTGGGTCACTCCGCTGCTCGCTAGAGTAGTCGTACGCGCTCGCACGTTGCATCGATCTGTCTGTCTCGCTCACGCCTCGACCACGCTTCCAGTGTTATTATTACATACTTAGCTAACTTAGACCAGTTTTAATTCTAATAAGTGTTACATTATCGTACTTAAATAGTGCTAGCGACGCGTGTGTCAATAAATTACCAATTTTAGGAGGATATTTTGAGTCACTTTATTTTACTCTTTTTTTTGCACAAATGGGATCAGTATCAATAACTCATTACACGGAATTTTTTTTTTCGGTGATTAAAATTTAGTGGTGTATAATAGGTAAATCTAGATTTTTAAAACTATTGTAAGTGGTTTTTGAAATTAAATTGATTAGGTAGATTTCAAATTAAATAACAATTTAATTAATATGAGAGAGAGTGAGAGAAGAAAGTTCAACGCGCATTAAATACAATATTATGCGAGACTTTAAATGCTAGGTTTGTATTGTCGGCCGTTTGGTGTAGTGGTTCGAAGTGGTAGCGGGTTCGATTCCCGCACAGTACAAACATTTGTGTGCATGAACATATTTGTTTGTATTGGACTGGGTGTTTTCTATGTATAATAAGTATGTATTTACAAAAAAAAGTATTTAATTATGTTTATATCCGTTGTCTAGTACCCATAGTACAAGCTTTGCTTAGTTTGGGACTAGAAGCGCAGTGTAAAATGTCTAAGGATATTTATTTATTATTTATTTTATTTATTAACTTTTATCTCAAGAACAAAATCATTTTGACATATTTCCATACCTACAATTGGTGAAATATCAGCCCCAAAACAAATATCTTTTCTATGGCAGAATAAGAAACACCAAAAAATCCTTTATCAAAACAATGACACGTGTCGTAAGATGATTCAATGTTTAAAGTAGACACGCAGATATGAATTAATCTATCTATATAAATAAAAATGAATTGATGTTCGTTAGTCTGATTAAAACTCGAGAACGGCTGGGCCGATTGAGCTGATTTTGGTTTTAAAATGTTTGTCGTAGTCCAGGGTAGGTCTAAACGGTGAGCAAATACGCGCGCGATATTGTTTTTCTGTAACAGACAAAATTCCACGCGAGCGAAGCCGCGGGCGGAAAGCTAGTATGTAATAGAAAGAGAGGTCAATAAGTCAAAATGACTAGCATGCAACTACTCGCGTATAAATAAATTGTAATCACGCACTTATTACAATACATACATGATTAGTCCGTATGCGTACTGGCGATGTATATTTTGGAGGAAGATAATTGACCTAAGTCACTACAAAGTATACGCGAGCAGTACGCAGCGTATGCGTACTGGTCGTGTATAGTTTGGAGGAGCTTAGTAAAAAAAGTCATATCCAAACTATACTCGATTAGTTTCACACCCTTGCGTTCTGGCTATGTATAGAATGGAAAGACGCGTTTACGTGACAAAGATGACGTAACTTAACAAAGGTAGGTGTGAAGTTCACACTGTGAACCTAGGTTTGTTTAAAATTCGAGCTTCTTAAAATTCTAAAAGGAATGCTCACCCGTCCCTTGAGCCTCAACTCAGCAACCTCAACACTATTTTTAATCTTCTGATAATGGGGACCAAATTATGGGTAACTAGGTAACACAGTTGTCTAGGAATAGTAGGTAGGCGACACATTAATTCATTGTGACATAATAAATGTAGGCAGGGCAGGCGGGCAAGCCCATGCCCATGGGCAGCAAACGAGGATGGTCAATCAGGGTCATTGATTACCACTACAGGATAACTAGGTGCTTTTGGAAGAAGTAAAAAGTTGTAAAGTGAGATGGGCGGTCGAGTGGAATAGGCAGAAAAAACTTATCAGAGGACGCTCCGGTAATGGGGAGTAACAGTGCATTTATGGAGAACGAACAGGGCCGTCTTTAACCGACTCCCTAGTAGCCTCCCTTGATACTTATGTGACTTAGGCCCTTCTCACCTGGAGAAAAATCTTTTATGAGTACAGACGGAGGTCTCGTCGATCGCAGGGCGCTGGGCACGTGCCCAGAGTGCCCAATGGGAAAGAGGGGCCTGAGAACGAGTGCAGAAAACCGCTGCGTTCGTGTAACGAGATGACTTTCTGTCTAAAGGATGGAGGACCTGCAGGAATAATCTTTACAAATCTATTCGCCTGCACTTGTTGAGCTTTTGATGGCGGTCTAGCTTTAGATCCTGGCTACACAGGTTGTGAAGTGGTGGACGAAAGGTAGCAATAGTAGCGCTCCCATCACTGGTCGGCCTTAACTGGTCGAGCTTTTGTTGGCGGATAAGCTGTAAATCCTAAACAGGAGTTGCAGAGGTGGGAACAAGTGGCGGGATCAGTTCCAGTTCTGCAATGAGTGACACCGACCAGTTATGCTCGAAAACACGGCAACTGAGGTTAATAATGTCCAGCAGTCTCGTCGATTTAACTCCTAGTCTTTGGATGAAGGACGTACGCTAAGAAAAGTATACGAACTGGACGAAATGGATGGATAAAGGCCTAGTACACGATTATAGCATGTTATCGAAGTCTTAAAAGGATTGGGATAACGGTATGGAGCAAAAAACTTCGCCAACATAATCAATAAGTGCGATGTCGTTCTGCGAATCGCAAAACGGTCAGTGGAATCAGGTAATCAAGTTTGCTGGCTAGACACACACACCATGACGTAATCTCGCCTATTGCGCGCCATTGTATATTTACAAGCCATAGAAACAACGCGATAAAACGTTGAATAGCAAGCTCCATATTTGCTTTCCTGGCCTTAAGTAAACAATAACTGGTGTCTATGCATTCGAAGTTAAAACTTTAATAAATATTTTTATACCTACTATGTTTTCACTTATACTTTATCAAAAATATAACCCTCCTTCTGGCGCAGTCAAGTAAAAATCTGGCATTAAGTAAAAAATATTGTAAATTAATTATGAGCAGAATGACAAAGTAATGTGTTTGAAATATTACCTGCATATCTAGACCAAAATAGGTGGCTTTTAAATAAGTAGTAGGTAAAATATTAATAATGCAATATCAAGTTGCACTTGAGGAGTGATATCTAATAAAATTATAAGGAAGGAGGAAAGTGTGCAGTTAGCTAGAGACCTTTGGCTTATGTAATTGTTTATTTTTTGAATTGTGTTTAATACTGTATCTCATGTTGATAGCCCAATAAAATAAATAAATAAGTGTGTTTAGGTGCCCAAAATGATCATTATTTAACTTATAGCCACAAATAGGCACATCAAAAATACAAAGTTATTGTAATAGGTACCTAAATGTCTTATAAATTTTGATAAGCATGCAGCCATAAATTACTAAGTTAACAAGTTAAAAATTATTATACCTATGTATTTTATAAATACTTTTAGAGGATAGGTACTGATAAAACTATCCGAACATTGAGATTATAGCAAGTTTCTTTTCTAAAGGAATAGGAAACGATATTGTTCGCAATACCATAAATATGTAAAATACCTATGCACTTAGAAGCTATTTTCCTAGTACATTTCCTAAGACTTCCAGAAAATACAAAAGTAAAGCCTGTGCACATCCTGTACTATACACCTATTTTGTTTAAATATAAAATCAAACTACTCTCTAGGAGAAATGGAATAAGTAAAATAGCTTTAGTTTCATGCTAAGAGATTAGAATCGCAAGGATCCTCGCTCGTGTGTGATACTGATTCAAAGGACCTTCAAAATGAACCTGCTAAGAAGTTCGTAATTAATAAATTAATAATGTGTCCAACTTGTGCAATTATTGCATATAACGAAACAAAATCAATTAATAATTTGTAATTAATTTGCAAAACTTACCTTCATAAATCTCCATGTCGATTCCGGCCAAAAAATGAAAAGTTTTTCTAAAATAAAACGTTTCTATGACGACGCATGACAGCAAACTCTAATCGAATTCCTATTGGCTGTCAAAACTTCTGAATTTTTGTTTTTTTTTATTCCACAGCTGATACAAAATAATGACCGTCGCTCACACAACCACGCGCACCAAGTTGACGTTTACAGTAAAGTGATTTACAAATATCACATTATATTCACGTGATATTGTTTTATCGTGTTTATTGTAATATTGTATAAGATTTCAATGTCTTGAAACAAATACAGTAGAACGCCGATTATCCGAACGCCGATTAACCGAATCGCCAATTATTATCCGAATCGGCTCTAAGCGTAATATGAGTACAAGGATTGCACCATTGCACCAGTGCAGTGACTCAACATTGCTCAAACTAGTATTTGAGTCATTCGATATGTCCACTTAATTTTATATAACGTGGCAGAATTTTGCTGGCAAAATATTTTTACGGGATAGGTAAGGCAGGATTTCTTAAGCCGGGTCTCCAGCGCGTGTTTTGCCCATAATAATGTCTAGATAAACAGAATAAATCGGTTATGTGTCAAGATGTGCACACACATGTTTGTACATACAAAAATATTTTTTTAAATCGTTTTATAATTTATTGTGCCCGGCTATGGCGCCCGGTTACTGTGTCAAACAAACAAAATGATGGCCACAAACATTTTATCTTAGTGAGAATATTTCGTTATTCGTTAATATAATTATTTGCATTGATCTTTCGCTTCTATTTTTGTGTATTCTGCAAACATCTTGACACAGGTTTGTGTGTGACTCACAGATTAGAGAGTATGGTGTGACTGGTATAAGCATAGGGACGTGGCAATAATCTCGTCAACAGGAGTAACTTGTCTATGGTTGAGTTTTTCATGGTTTTACCGGTATTGCAAACCACGTCAACCTCTTTTTATATAAAAGTAACGGTGCGAGCACATCACTATCATTGACGTAAAAAAAATTGGAAACGTCGACGTATGGTGATCAAAACTTTGTTTTAGCTGTTTCTGTGTTATTTTGCTAAATTCATTGAACGTTTTTATATAATTCTTCATTGAGGAGTATCAGTGGACATAGCAAACCATGGGTTTAACGATATCAAGTGTTTTTACTCGGCTTTTCGGCAAAAAACAGATGCGTATTCTAATGGGTGAGTGACATGACTCATGACAGCTCGGTTTGCGTAGATAATACTATTTCTTTTAGTATTTCTTTGTGTGAGATTGATTCAGTGATGTCTATTGATTGACTAATTTTGGTTGTTTCTTGCAGTGGGGCTTGACGCCGCCGGAAAGACTACAATACTTTACAAGCTAAAGTTAGGCGAGATCGTGACTACGATACCGACAATCGGCTTCAATGTGGAGACGGTAGAGTACAAGAACATCAGCTTCACCGTGTGGGACGTCGGTGGCCAGGATAAGATCAGGAAGCTATGGCGCCACTACTACCAGAACACGCAGGGCTTGATCTTTGTTGTGGACTCCAGTGACACTAAAAGATTAGCAGAGGCTGAACAAGAGCTTAGTAGTATGGTGAGTAGAACATTACTAGTAATGTTATTAACCATTAGATAATAAACAAAACAATGTACACATCTTTTTTATTCATCAATCCAGCCACAGGATATCTACTGTTGAACATAGAAAAAAATAACAGGTAGGTCTTTTTTATTCATGACAATTTGTAGATTTTAAAGATGAAAATCAAATTCTAAGCTGACCCAACCACTTTCCCTCCAATTCTCATTTACAAAATTTCTAAATACTTTCTTCCTTATGTTAGAAATGTTAGAATGGAGCGCCCTAAAACCAGTTCTTTCATGGATTCATCAGCATGAGCTGAGTCACCATCTATCACTTCAACTCTACTGTCACCTGTGTTGCAATATTGTGTACTCCATAAAATTGATACACAATTCTTTATTATTTCTAGCTAAAAGAAGACGAACTAAGAGATGCAGTTGTGTTAGTGTTTGCAAACAAACAGGACATGCCAAACGCAATGACTGCTGCCGAGCTTACTAATGCACTTAATTTGAACGGACAAAGGAATCGTCGTGTGAGTATTTACTGTTTTTGTCTTGTACATTGTTCTTAATATGTTATCTTAAAACTATTACTTAATTTCTTTATGATACACAATTGCATCATCAAGTAATATTGTTGCATTGTTTTATCTGCTTGTATAGGTTTCAATTGAAATATCAGGGAAAATTCTAAAATTATATCATTAATTAAAGCATTGTATGCTATATTAATATGTATCTGGTACTGTTTATTTCTGACAATGCTGCTGAGACTGCATGATATTTGTCCCACTTTTTTCCCCTCAAAGTATTTTATTTCAATCACAATGCAATTTACAAACTATTGCATTAAACTTATGTCATTTGTAATTGCATCATAGAGTATTTACTTACTCAGATAAAAATAAAAATGTGTTTTTCGTTCTCCAGTGGTACATCCAAGCTACATGTGCGACACAAGGACAAGGATTATACGAAGGCCTGGACTGGCTTTCAAATGAACTCGCCAAGAAGTGAGATACGGTGTTATCAACAGCGTATGGGAATCAACATTTTTGATCATTTCCCACACTGACTGACAATTTCCATTGTTTGTGAATGATGATCTTTATACTGATCCAAAGGACTATGTAATTTTACGTATCTAATTAAGATCTAAGCTGTAAGGGACTCAGTCTTCATTGTTCACTCACAATATTGTTTAGGGAGTTTTGGTGTCAAAATTTTAGTATTTCTTATTAAAAAATTAAGACCTTTTAGAGCCTTTTTCTCATTATACTAAATATTGTTTGCAGGTTGTGAAAAGGGCTCTAAGTAGTTATCAAAGTTAGACTAATCATGTAACGTTTTGGTCTGTGTTTAAGTTTTTCGGTAATATTTTACTGTTTTGTGTAGTTTGTAATATTAATGGAGTAATTCTACTGTATATCTCGTTTATGCATTTTAAAACTCCTAATAAGCACAACAGGTAATGTTTATTATACTATCAACACACATGCTTATCAATTATACATAATGCCTGTAATATTGACAATAAACAGTGTTTGTCATACAATGTGCATACTATTATTAATATAAATTATTCAGTAGCTAGATATTTATCAATATTAATTATATTTTATTTTGGTCTTTTAAAAAAAGTATTGTTTGACTATTTTGTGTCACAGTCAGCCAAACAATGTTTCTTACAACAGATTTATGATTGGGTTTGAAATTCAAGATACATTCCTAACAAAACTGAATTTGGCAGATTCTTCTATTGCTGGTAGTTTTTTAAGTTGTTAAATTGTTATTATTAATAGCAACTGCATAACACAATCAGACTGGGTGGTATGCTTTTGTTATTTGACAATTTCATTGTATTTCATGATGCTGAAATGGTAATACATAAACAGATTCATTGCCATGTAATTCTTGCTATGTTTATGTTCATAATATTCACTTCATAAGTATGATTGCAATATGGTGGTGTATATATTTTATAATGACCTATTGGCCAAATATATAAGGTGTAATTTTTTGTACTGATCATACTTTACCAAGGCATCTAATAAAATCATACAAATACAACCCAAGTGTTTTTAAAAAAAAAATCAGGCTAGTTTTTGTTTTTACTTTTCCTAACAAAAAAAAGATATTATTTTTACAACCATCCTGTCTTCACTCACTGCCTCTCTCTCTTTCTTTACTCATTTCATTCATACGAGTACGAACAATGGCCGCGCGCGTTCATTCAACGTTCACACACATAAAGGTTAGATTACACTAAGCCTACGTTACCAAAAATTATCACTCGTGAGTATGTACGATGTTACGTCATGTTAATAGGTACTACGCGCTGGGAGAAACAAAATCTAGCTACATAAGTAGGTAAATAAGTGTATTTTCATTAGTGTAATAGCGGGGGACTTTTCCAACGAACCGAGGCGAATCATCCGCGTTAAACTAGAAATTTAAAAAAGGATAGAAATTGGAATTCAATATCTACGGTTTCGTAATGCCTACGCAATTTATTTAGAGACGTAATAAAAAATTGATAGGTACATACCTATTACTACTTCGCTTCGCTTCAGTGGAAATGCACCCTAATATTGAATATGAATAGGTGTTGTAAATAAAACTCACTGATCAATTTTCCTGGTTTTAATTCCTAAATTATGATTTGCCATCACACTTTAGATTCATTGATTTTACTTATTCACACATTTACCTATTTTGAATGTTGTTATTTAAAGTTCCTAGGTTATTATTACACTAATCACAATACATTTTGAACGTCAAGCCTTTATTGAATGTTCACGTAAACACTGTCTTGCACTGTCTAATCTAGCCACGATCGAATTGAGGTAATGCTTTCGGGCTGCACACTTGCTTGCTGTTCACTAGACACCACGTCGGATGTTGTATTCACAATTCGCGCACTAACTTTTTTACGGAAAAAGTCCCTTTCGCGTAAACAAGCACTCATCTGTCCAAATCACACTGTAGGTATGTACCTAGGTAGACTTCCGCAATAACCATCGATAGAACTCGGTCGCGGTCGTGGCCCTCTGGCAACAACTCCTTGATAAGGCATTCCGTATTTTTACGCAAAAGCCGCCGTCTGCGGCGCTCGCATCTGGGTACCGCCAGCACTGTGCCGGTGATTGAAATTGAAATCCAGAACTTCGTCCTCGAAGCGCACGGGATCTCGTCAAGTCAGGATACGGCTGCGCTCCCTGAAGCGCTACGCGGCTCCAAACAAGCAAGGTATGAAGGTTTTCGACTCGTCAATGTTTCTCGTCGGCCAGTTAGTGTGCCCGAAACATAATTTCACCAGCGTTTTGTTATTGATCAAGCGCGGCATTGTAATAACTCGCACATACACTGCAACACGTTTGGGCGCATTGGACGGACTGGTACGATTATTTATGTTGTTGCGCTCCCGCATGCCGATCGGCGGCTCGGCGCGGGCTATGGGCGCGGAGCGACTGGCAGCGATATCAATATGGCCGACTCACGCGGCGCGGCACGTGGCAGCGGTCGTTGCCCTCGGCCGGCTACTACGATAGTGCGTAAACGAATACTCACCGCGCTCAAAGGATGATTTATTTTTTATTTTTTTCGAAACATTCTTTGTCGTTTTACTCGAAAACTAGCCTGAATTTTTTTTTAAAAACACTTGGGTTGTATTTGTATGATTTTATTAGATGCGTTGGTAAAGTATGATCAGTACAAAAAATAACACCTTATATTGTAACTATCGCAAAATGTAACTGCATGTTCCATTCCTTCAGTTGCTGCTTGTGAGATGCGATAAGTTTTATTACGATAGAAATAAAAGATAGGTGTAATTGAAAGGTATATTTTATTCATACAAATATTCCCCTATCATATTAAAATATGTTATAAATAGTAATATTATGTTATAAAAAACACTGCAAAACAAGAGACGAGCAACACCAATTACATTTCAGAACTACTAATGATTCCATTTAGGTTTCCTTTTTTCGACAAAGCTCATAATGCCTTCTTGGCCATCGTTCATATTGATATTCTGTACCATGATATCTTCACCCAATTTATAAGCTTCAAAGAGATCCAAGTCGATTTGTTCATAGTAGAATTTCTTTCCTAACGATATGACGCTGCGGCTCTTGTGCTTGATCTTTTCTATTATTTTGTTCACTTCTTCGTCTAAAAGATTGGCAGGGACTACTTTAGTGACAAGACCACTGTCGTAGGCCTCTTGCGCGGTGATCGGTTCTCCTGTAAAAGAAGGAAATAATTATTTAACTATGATGTAAATATTGGGGCATATTACTAAATTTAGCCCTTGTAGGATTTGAATGGGAAACCACAGCTAGGGTTTACGCCGATAAAAACATACAAACATTTATAAATGTTGAATTTACCTGTAAAAAGCATGTAAGTCGCTCTTGATTTTGGTACAGAACGACCGACCGCGATTCCCGGCGTTGAGCAAAATATACCAAAGTTCGCTCTGAAATAAAGAAAAGTTTTAAAGTATTAGAAATCAATTTAAGGTCTAATCTTGAACCGATCTGAGATTTTCGATGATAAGGCATGATTAAATACAAATCAGTCGATATATGCGACTTAATAACGAATGAATCATTATTTTTACGCCCGATTCCCATATTCAATCCTTGTCCAACAAATCTAGATTACAACTGTCAAATTGAATTCAGTTTTAGATTATATTTCCAAAATTTTCGATGCATTTACACTTTAATATTGTTTAAATAGTCTTATAAACAATATAAAAATGTAAAAACATCAAAAACCGCAGTTATTTTGGCCAAAAACATATTAAAATTTGACAGTTGACAATCCAAATCCGTATAATTTGGATTAGGATTGAATCTTAGATTAATAATCTAAGGATTGAATATAGAAATCCAGCATTAGGGACCAATTCGCGTAACGATGGGTTAAGTAATAATCACGCAATTACTATTAAATTATCAAGTGTGCTAAAATAGGCGTGTTTCTAGAAACAATTTTATCGGTTAGATAACGATAAAAAAGAAATAAACAATACTGTAGATAGGCACATAAAGGTTACCTTGTTAGTTGCAAAACCAACTTAATTGTAAAGAGCATAAGAATTGAAATATGTTTATAGTTATATTTACCCAGGTGTGGAGAACTTGCTAGTGTCTGAACACACTATCATGTCACACGTAGCGACTAGTTGGCATCCCGCGGCTGTGGCAAACCCGTTCACCTACAAAAATACGGATTATTAAGTTATAGAAACCATATTATTCATACAGGTGCAGCTAATAATATGTAGGTACCAATAAAAAGGAGGTTATTCCAAGCAGTAGATAATTTCGCGTTAGTGTATGTACAGTAAGAATTTCTATCACCTAAATCCTACACAACACAATGATGCTTCCGATGAAATTATAAAAATTACGGGTTTAACTGTGCTATATATATTTTTACCAGACTGTCTCAAGGAATAGAATAATGTTAATAAACGCGTTTATTGCTCTTTTTTTAAACAAAAGGGAATCACAAAAAAAAGAACCCTTCTACTTTTAGATATTTCTTGTGCAACTTTTTTTGAAATGTTACCTTAGCAATAACTGGCACTGGACTTAAAACTATGGATTTCATAAGTTCGGTAGCCTTGCGGAACACCAACTTGTGTTGCTCCACACCACTGCTGGATTGCTGAAAAGACGACACGAAATAAATAAACAGTGAATTTTTTCAATGACACAATGGAGCCTTAAAACATAATAAGATTTGAGCGTGAAGCAATGAAATCGATAATAATGAAACGTTAAACTTTTTCTAACGTAAACGGTTTAGGAAAGTAACAAAAAGAAAATGAAACCAAACTAAACTCATAAGTCCTAAATCTTAATATTTATCAAGTTCTTAAAAAAATATCTTTCTTGACAATTAATGAATTATTTCTTCATTCAGGCAATCATCAATATTTTTTTACTATGTAAACAAAAACTTATTATTATTACAGACAAGCAGACAAAGACAGAGGATTTTTTACATTTAATATTACTTTTAGTGACAATATTGGTCGAGTTTATTTTTATTTATGAGTTGCAATGATTAAGAAATAACTTACAGTTACTTACTAACTCTTTCAAGTTATGGCCAGCTGAGAACACGTTCCCTTTGGCTGATAGGACTATAGCCCTCAGGGCAGTGTCGTCTTTGTTTGTATTTATGGCCTCAATGAGGTTGTCCATCATTTCCAATGATAAGGAATTTCTGAATAATAAAGAACACAATTTTATTAAATGGTTAATTTAACTATGCTAAGATTAACACTAACAAGTCATTAACTTTAATAGTTAGCTTAATCATTAACATAATTAAGCCTAAATAATGTAAAATAATACAATATAAAAAAGACATTTTTAACAATGGTTTGGTAAAATCAAACTTGAAAAGTTAGTTTTATGTCTTTAAGGACTTCAGATCTTAATTAAAATAAATGTTAAAAATATCAACTTACTTTGTTTTTTCATGATTTAAAATCACTTCTCGGGTCCCATCAGTTTCATTAGTTGTAACATACTGAGTGTTGATCTGTCTGTATACTAGGTGCAAAGGTCTTGTGCATTTTCTCTGTAAAAAACATGAAATTAAGTGAAAATATGATGTATACCTACTTAAAAAAATATACAAAATGACACTTGATATTAATGCAATAAAATCCAAAGATAACACATTTTTAAAGTAATTTATGAACATAGGTAGTTTTTAGGTTAGAACCTAAACACATAAGAAATTAATAGGTTCTTTAAATTTAATGAGTAGGTATTGAATAGATATGCATCTAATTGAATAGAACATTTAAATTATACCTACTCTATAAATACTTACTTGGAATGATGAAAGCATTTTAATAACCTCTAATATAACCTGTTATAAATTAATACTTATCCTATAAACGAGAGATAGAAATGTTTTTGGTAACTCAATAAAATAAAATAAACAAGAAAAAAGTATTATCTTCTCAAAAGTCAAAACAATATTATCAGTCATGTCATTTTAGGGTTGCCACAATAGTGTACATAAAAATATACATTAGGTATATTGAAATTGCCAATGGGTAAAAATAAAATAAAAAATCAAGAGATAAATTATGATTATTTAAGTTTTATTTTTTAGTATCTGGAATCACTTTCGGAGGTATCTGATTCAGTGCCTCCGTCTAGGTATTCAGCTCGCTCGTCTTCCGCCGTTATAACCTCTATTACGGCGCTGCAAAGAAAAACTAAGCGTTTCAAACAAAAAATAACAATAACCCTTCGGAAAGCCTAAGGCTAGTTGTAAACTTGGAAAAACTGTATATAGAATGACTACTAAATAAAATGTATATAAAATTTATCAAAAAATGATAACAGGCAACTTTGCTTTAGTGCTATAAGGGTACAAGAAGATCATATCCATAATTCCTTATGTTAGTGTCAGTGGTAATATTTAAAATAGTCATAGAATAAAAGGGCCATAAATGCTAATATTTACAAAATAATTTGACGTAGAATGCTTTAACGATTTTAGTTATCGAAGAGTAAAAAGCATGAAATTAGGTCTATAATTTGTTTACCATTGATTAACTACGGTATTGAAGTGGTAGTTTATAAA